TATATACACGAGAGTTTAATGTAAAATTTATTTAATTTTATTTCTCGATACGCATATTATGTCGTTATATTATCATAATTGCGGTATCTTTATTGTATTCATTTCGCCAAACGAAATCTCATGAAGGGGAATTCTACACTCTTATATTTACAATCTCGCTTTCTATTTTAAACTTAAAGAATTGTGCATTCGTGTGAACGAATTAATAATTTAGATTTTTTTTCTTTCGTTTAACTTATTTGCTTTTCTTTACGCAGGGTGTTAAATTCCATTATGTGGAAGCGGGAGACAAAAGTAAACCACTCGTGTTATTATTACATGGATTCCCGGACTGCTGGTTATCTTGGAGAAAACAGATTCCATGTCTCGCAGAATACTATAGGTGCGTTTGAAAATTTATGTTTATAAAATATTTTATAAAATATTTTATAAAGCACACGCGTTAGCGTTGTGATATTCATATTTTAATGCTGTTTCAGAGTAGTAGCTATAGATTTAAAAGGATTCGGTGATAGCGACAAACCGCTCAACAAACGATCTTACAAACTCGAAATTTTAATAAATGAGTTGAAACAATTCATTTTGACTCTCGGTGTGAAGACGTGCAGCATAATCGGCCACGACCTAGGAGGACTTCTGGGATGGTACATGGTCGCTCTACACAGAGATCTCGTTTATAAATTTATAGTCATTTCGAGTCCGCATCCCAATTTTTATTGGAACAGAGTATCAAGAAATTCTATTTTAGACAAAAAGTAAATATTTTCGAAATTCCGTTTATGAAGATTCTTGAAGACTTTACATGAAATTTTATTATATATTTATGTATTTTAATTGCAAAGGCATAATGTGACTGATTCTAGATGGCTACATTTCAGCAGATTACCATTTTTGCCAGAAATAGATGCACTTAAAGAAGACTTATCTATTATCAATGAAGTATTTCGACATCTTCAAATATCTCAAGATGACAAAGAAAAAAGTTACGTCGAGGCGTATAAATATGCCTTCAGTAGGAAAGGTAAATTTTAATACTAAGTCTGATATATAAAATAATTTTTATATCATATGTTATTCTTCTCTTATGTTTTTCATATTTAAAAAATTAATATAACGTTTTGTAGAGGATTGGACAGGACCGATTAATTATTATCGTAATCTACCATTCACAAGACTGAATACAGATAGCGGCGAACAGATAGACAACAAAACGTTACTTCTAGTTGGAGATATGGATCCTTTTGTAACAATAGAGAGCATTATTCAAAGTGCTGAATACGTAGAAGTATCTAGGGTTAAAGTTATATCACAGACGCAACATTTTCCACATCAAGAAAAATCGGATGCCGTAAATAAGGCAATTATTAAATTTCTAAAAGGTAAGTTTTTTCGCCCTTATAAAATTTCCTTATAAAAATAATATTATTTAATAATAATGTCGATATACTGTATACTTTGCGTATAATGTTTTAGGTGCTACATATAATTTGGCGCTTTCAAAAACGCCCGTAAAAAGTCTTGTGTCTTCCTGGCTAGGATCTTTGAGTAACACCGTTAAATATGGTAATCAAATGATTGACGTTGTGCACAAACGAACTAATGACATTATAAATGTGTTACCGAATAAAACACTTTATTTGGGACAAACAAGTTAAATGGTGTTACATCAGCATTACGTTATTTAGAACTTTGTACTTCATTACAACAAATCTATATATCCTACCTATGCTAACACTGACTATGAAACTCATAAAAGGCTGATTTTGTCTTATTTATTACTTATTTCTTATGTAAGTATAACATTATAAATGGGAATTGCAATTTTTATGAATGATGAAATCTTATTGGTATAAAAATATCTATCACATTCATTTTTATGATATATCATATCTCGAATTTTTATAATTGTATAAGTAATCACTATCTAGAAACAAGAATATTAATGGAGAGCAATTTAAAATCTGCGTAATCTAATTTATTTTTTAATATTTTAAATAAAAATCCTAATTTTCTAATTGAATAATCTCCTAATTGAATAATATTAATATGGATTATATAATTGATATTAATATTTTATTATAACATTAATTAATATTATAATTATATACGTAATATAGCTATAAAT